ATACATATATATCACCTAAAACTCTTTGTGGTTACAAATAAATGGACCTAAGGTAGTAATAATATTTACATATTTAACTTTTAAACCTCATTCATAATTATTACTCCCTCCATTCAACAATAGTTGTTTTACTTTGAATTTATGAATTTTAAGACCAAAAATTTAAGTAGAAATTTAACATAGCATAGACTCCCTCCATATCAAAATAATTATTAAAATTTTTTACTTAGAATTTATCTCAAATAAAGAATTATTTGTTCATTCACTTCTCCAAACAAAAATGAGAATGAGATTTGTAAATAGGAAAGATCCTACCTTAGTCGCGTTCTCCTCTTTTTTTTTTTCATTTTTTCTTTTTTTGAGGCATTTACTTAGGCTCTGTTTAGTATAAATGTAATTTTTGATTTTTAATTTTAATTTTCATAAATTTTATATTTATTAAAAATTAAAAATAAAATAAAAAACTACCAATTTATTTAAAAGAAGTTTTAACTCTAACAGCAAAATATATAAATTCTTTTAATAATATTTAGATTATTTCTTGTTCTTTTTTTTAATAATCTTGATAATATTTTCCCAAAACATGTGACAATAAATAAATTTTTTATTTAAAATTACAAAATTTATAAAACTAAAATCTAAAAACTACAACTGTATATATTGAAGGGAGCCTTATTTAAAGTGATTGTTATATAAATAGATAAAAATGAGTAATATAATAATCAAAAGATAATAGGCGCATTTGAAAGTGAGAGTGAGATCTTACTAAGGACCTGTTTGGTACAGCGGTTAAAATTCAGCGGATAGCGGATAACAGATAGTGGATAGTGGATAGTGGATAGCGGTAACGGGTAGCTGGTGGTGGTTAGCGGATAGCGGATGGCGGATGGCGGATGGCGGATAGTGGAAAGTCGGTAGCGGATGGTAAATAGCGGATTCGATAAACATAACTGTTTGGTTATACAATAGTTAGCGGTTGTTGTTTAACATTAAATGACTAATAAGGACATGTTT